GAGAGAGAGAGACAGCGTGAGCAGGGGAGGGTCAGAGAGAGAGGGAGTCACAGACTGAAACAGGCTCCAGGCTCTGAGCTGGCAGTCAGCACAGAGCCCGACGCGGGGCTCGAACCCACGAACCGCGAGATCATGACCCGAGCGAAAGTCGGACGCTTAACCAACTACGCCACCCGGGCGCCCCTCTGGTTTTGTATTCTAACTGTATCATAGCGTCCTAGAGTTAGGTTTTACAGATTGATCTCTGCCTAGCATTCTCCCTTGTGGTTGAATACTCGGTGAAGAAAGATTCAATAATTGCACAATGGCCCACCATGTGCTTATGGGATAATTTGCTCGTTTCCTTTCCTGTTGTTGGACATCCAGGTTTTATTTTTTTATTTTTAATTTAATTAAAAAATTTTTTTTCAATTTTTTAAAAATTTATTTCTGAGAGAGAGAGAGTGTGAGCAGGGGAGGGTCAGAGAGAGAGGGAGACACAGAATCCGAAACAGGCTCCAGGTTCTGAGCTGTCAGCACAGAGCCCGACGCGGGGCTCAAACCCACAAACTGTGAGATCATGACCTGAGCCGAAGTCGGACACTTAACCGACTGAGCCACCCAGTGGCTCTAGGTTTTTAATAATAAAGTCTTGAATGCTGTGATGGAGCTGATACTTACCTGATGCCAGTGACTTCATTTTAGAAAATATTACGAGTGACGCATGCAGTATAATAGTTGTGAGTGGTGTGTGTTAGCTAGTATTCTTATGAGTTTAGGTAGATCTTTATGTAATAATTTGTACATAGCTTTTATTTCCACCCTAAGATCTTTTACAAATAACTTGGACTCTGTGGAGAGGCCAATCTTTTCTTCTAGAGCTCAGGTACATCAGAAAAGCCGCGGGTGGAAGTTAGTCACGTGCCCTTGCAGCCTAGTGCTGACTGTGCCCTGCTGGTGACTGCCAGCCCCGATCGCCTGTAAGACGAGGCAGGCGGTCCCTCGTCCCCGTGTCACACGAGCATGCTGGGACGGTGGCAGGAAGCCATCCCCTCTGGCCGCCGGAACCCAGGCAGCGGGCGGATGTCCACGCTCCTCTTCGGGGCGAGGGTGCCCCAGGAAGGCTGGTGAGGGACTGGGGCCTAACTGCACGCTGCGGGCACATGAGCTCTGGGCACTCGACCCCCAGTGACCCGCCGCAGCTCCTCTCCGGCACCGGCGGGCAGGCAGCCGAGCAGAGGGGCCCGCGCCCTGACCGGCGCTGGCCTCCAAGTGCGCGGCCTGGGGGGTAACTCGCCAGAACTACTCCAGCAAGTGCAGCTCTTCGTGCGCAAATGGGGCCGTTTACGGAGCCCAGAGCACATGCCAAAGCCGGTGCCGGGTGCTCGCCTTCCTGTGTTAGGTGCGTTCCCTGCTGTAAACCCCCGAGTTACGGGGCTGAGACGTGGTGACGGACTGCTCCGTGGTCTCTCTGCTGACACACGTGGATCCGGGGTTCGAGTGCGGGTTGTCTAAGGCCCGTGTATGTAACCAAACTGTTGACACTGAAATACAAGTAGGTTTATAGTTGGTTTAATGGTCCACAGGTAAAACTTTTTCCTTTTGTTAGAGGAACATAAGCCAGTTTCCTCTTCTGACAGACAGCATGACTTGCTGGAAATGAGCCGGCGTTTCCTTTCACGTTCCCAACATGACTATCGTTTGGTTGCTTACGGGGGTCTCAGGTTAGAGTCGGGAACTGTGGCTCAGTCGCTGTAACAGACCCCCAGGCCGGGGCTTTGCGCGCAGCGGGGGCTCAGGAGATGCTGTGCCGCGAGGGGGCGGGCACGGGGGCCAGGGCCCTGCCCTAGGGCGCCACTCATCCCGCTCCTCTGCCTCCTCTTCCCTAGGCAGAAGGCTATGTAATTGGAAGCTGCATCAAGCACATCCCGATCGCAGGTAGAGACATTACGTATTTCATCCAGCAGCTGCTAAGGGAGAGGGAGGTGGGGATCCCTCCGGAGCAGTCACTGGAGACCGCAAAGGCCATCAAGGTAAAAACAGATGGGGAATGGGCCTCTTTGCGGGGGGAGGGGGGATGGTGTTTGGATGCTCCCCCTCGCTGCTCCCCCAACCCCCCCGCCCCCTGCCCCCGCTTTCCTTTCTCTCCCCGCGAATGTGGGTCTCTCGTTCTGTTTACCACTTGAGCTACAGGGCAGAAGCCTCAAGGCTTAGCTTTTGCCTCTGAATGTAAATGCCGTGGACGCTCTGGCCGTCAGTGAGAACAGCTTGGTAACTGGCGTTGAGCACAGGCACACGTGGCACAGCATCGTTTAACTGGAGCCTGATTAGACGGAACCCTCAATTAGCTGCGTGTGCCTTCCGCGTCCCTCTCCTGCTTCGTGTCTGGAATGCGGAGCAAACAGCAGCCACGGCGGAGTTAGGAAGTTTGTGAAGTCAGCCAGTGCTCAGACCCCCGTTGGGGGCGGCCGTGTGAGGTCCTTGCCCTGAGAATAACCGTGGAGAGTAAGGCCATTCCAGGGCCCAGAGTCGTTAAAATCTATCTGTATTTTCTAGGCTCTAGTTACCAGGCTGGCGAGGTTATGGAGGTCGGCCTGACGCATCACTTCACCCATATCTCTGTAGGTGGCTGACGGACACTCTTAGAAGGAACTTCCCTAAGTTTCAAAATCAGGACAAATTATTATTTTAGTCAAATACAGGAGATTTTTGGTGATGCAAGGGTAATTACCACATAGATGGAGAGGGAAGCGCTTTGTTGTTTTTGGAGAGGAGTGTAATTGTGAGGTGTGACGGGTAGAGCTGGGGCTCCTGCTGCCTGGCCCCCCAGCTGCCCGGTGTCCTGGGGCCTGGAGCGTCCCGGACTGGGGGCTCTTGGTGCCAGAACAGTACCGCTCGGGGCAAACCTGGGGGCAGAGTTGGCAGAAGTCTTAGAAGACTCTTTTTAGGCTAAAATACTTTCCAAGTCTTTCCCTCTTCCCTTGTCTTTCTTCAGCGAAGGAGATTTGGGTATTTGATCCCTGCTTCCTTGCCATTCCTAGTCTGTTGCTAATGTGAACCCGAATTGAACTTCTTGTCCCTGATGCTCAGGGGTCCCTCTGGTGAGTGTGGGTGTCCCATTTTTAGTAGAGATTGCTGAGTGTGGTGACTGCCTCCCCGGTCCTTGTGGTGGTGTTTGCTTTACTTACCGGCTGTGCGGGGCCAGTTGTGACCCTGAAATGGGAGCGGGCTGTTCAGGTTATGCCCGCGTTCTACTCAGCTGCGGGGGCCCCTCCAGGTGAGCGTGCTGGCTCCGCGTGTGGCTCAGCCTGCTGCCCGCCGCCTGCTCTCTGCTTCTGTAGAGGCAGATCCTGGAAAGGGGTTGGGAGGTACCCCAGTGTTATGGCGCCACCGTGGCCTGGGTCCGGAACTGAGGACGAACTCTGCTGCACTCCCCCAGCGGCACGGGGCGTTTCCGGCATCAGCGAAGCCAGGGAGACGCCCCCGAAACTGACCAGCCTCTGAGAACAGCTTAGTGTCTTCGTCAGCCGCCTGGTGGATTCCGGGTTGTGTGGACTGACTCGGCCTCTCTGTGCCGTCAGGGAGCACAGGGATGCGTAGCGGATCTTGCTGTGAGTCCTGTGATGCTGCTGGGGCATATCGAGGACGGCATTAAAATACGTGTCAGGGACTCTAAGAAACTATTCTTGGTGTCATGAAAACACCTGCAGAGGTCCTTCCAAGGTCTGTGGTGAGCACCAGCTGCGTGCCTGACACAGCGCCCCCGGGCCCTTGCCCACAGGAAGCTTACTTTGAGAAGCTGGCACACAAGTGCCACCTGCTAGTGTGCGGAGGTTAGTTCCGAGGACAGGCAGTCGGCCAGGGAGCCTGGGCGGGCATTACGGATGCTGAGGGCATGACTGCTGTGGCCGCTCCAGCGGGCTGCGGATGCCGGGCTGAAGACCTGAAGACCGCCGGCGGGTCCTCTCTCGCGGCGGCGTCCGGGAGCCCCGTCCTCCTCACCGCCGGCGGGTCCTCTCTTGCGGTGGCATCCGGGAGCCCCGACCTCCTGACCACGTCTGCCTTTTTTTTCCAGCGGCACTTGCCACCACATGACACGCTGGGCCATTGATCTTTATTGTGGCCGTGGTGGACCGTGCCTGTGCAGCTCTCAGCCAGTGCGTGCTGTGGCGGTCAGGGGTCTCTGCCCCACGTGCCTCGGTGCTCGGGAACCGCTTGTCACGGGGCCCGCGACGGTGCCGTGTCACATGGCCCAGCAGGCTAGCAGCCAGAACCTCCTGATCATGGCCGGAGTCAGGATTGGTCTGCTGCACTCCACGTGCGCCTGCTGGTCTGGAGGCCAACGGCCGCGAGTGCCCGGGCCAGGGCCGCGTGGGGGTCTCAGGCGTAAGGGAAGAGGGGCTGGGAGACAGGATGCGTAGTACACGCATTTAGACATTGTTCCAGATAGTATGGCGACAAAATCTGACCGAGTGAGGCTGATCAGTAGCTGGGTTGCAAAGAGAGCAGACTCACATGTCCAGGGTCAGAGCATAGTCATGTCTGTGCTGAGCAGTGACCGAGTGTGAGGCCCCACGGACACCCACGCTGGCGTTCTGCTGTGTGCAGGGCTTGGGCTCCCTGGGTGTTCGTTGTGGGGCAGAGACTGCGCGTTAACGCCTGCTGTTGCCTCTGTGCTCCCGCCTCCAGGAGAAGTACTGTTACATCTGCCCGGACATAGTCAAGGAGTTTGCCAAGTACGACGTGGACCCCCGCAAGTGGGTCAAGCAGTACACGGGTACTAACGCCATCAGCCAGAAGAAGTTCGCTATAGATGTGGGCTACGAAAGGTTCCTGGGGCCTGAGATTTTCTTCCACCCAGAGGTAAGGGGTTTGCTTCTGGAGCGTGCAGAAGTGGGGCGTACGTGGGGTACTGCCACCTCGTGTGCATGGAAGCCAGTGTGTGGTGCAGGCCCGTCCCCGAGGAGTGCCGCTCTGTCTGGGGGGCTGTGGCCCATCCCCGAGGGTCGCTGCTCTGTCTGGGTGCCACTGACCTGTCCCTGAGGGGCGCCGCTCTGTCTGGGGGGCTGCGGCCCATCCCCGAGGGTCGCCGCTCCGTCTGGGTGCCACTGACCTGTCCCTGAGGGGTGCCGCTCTGTCTGGGGTGTTGAGGGCCCATCCCTGAGGGGCGCTGCTCCATGTGGGGTGTCGAGGGCCCATCCCTGAGGGACACCTCTCCGTCTGGGCGGCTGCTTCCCTCTGCCCCTGCACAGACCTCATGGTTACAAAGTCAGTGACTGATTATGCTGTAGGCAGTTGTGAAGAGCAGAGGAGGTAATGGAATGGAAAGCAACCTTGCACTGCTGTGGAAACTAGTTAATCTCAGGGACAGAGTGAAAGTTGGCTCTTTTTAAAAGTGGGGGAACGTGTGACCTTTTCCTCTTTCATGAACATCCTTCCTCATCCCAGGTTTTAACCCAGGACAGTCCATCCTCCGGGTGGTTTAAGCTTCTGTCAGAGGACTGGCCTTGCCCGTAGTTCTGTGGTCCTTAAGGGTTACACGTGTCCTCAGTTTCATTATTGGTCACAAAGGATTATTAGTTTTGCAGGAGCAGTAACTAATGAGGCAGCCTTTTAAGCTTTAAATAAAAGGCATTTTATTCGTATCTTGGTCTATTTTCTTGCCTAATTCATTTTATACCCCCTACGTTACAAACCGCTGCCTGTTTTTAGTTGTGTGTGTGCCTGGTGTGTAGGGAGATGGCACAGATGTGTGAGCTCCTGTAACCAGGCACATCGTGCTCATTCACCCCTGCCTTTGATGATGCTGACTCACAGCAGGCACAAAAGTGCCATGTCCGGTGAGCCGCCCAGCACCCGGGTGTCACCCTTTCCCGAGGCTGCTGTACGTTCAGGCCTTCCTTGATTCTAAAACCCGCGTAAAATGCAGTCTAACTGAATCATTTATGCTTTACCTTACGTAAGTTACAAAATTAAATCTATGGCTGTTCATCAGTAGCTTGCTTGTTACCATTTTGATTGTGTCATTTTAAAGCCACCGTCATCCCATACGTGCCCCTCCCCCATCTTCTAGCCCCCCGCAGTGATCTTGCGTTGACTCTGTTTTTTGTTTTTCGGTTATATCTTGACTGCCTTTTTCATACCATGAATATCCGTAAGTGTTCCTGTGTGCTCATTATGTGTCGCACACTCATGCATATACTTCTGTGGCCTCTTATCAGCACGACACACCGTGCGTTCCTAACGCAGAGCTGGTCTCTGCGTTCACCTTGATCCCTTTCCTTCCCTAAACCCACACGTCTCATCTCTTAAGGGGGCAGATGCCATTGTCACTACACACAGTCACGTGGGATTCATTTGACACCTCGAACATTCCAAAGTGTAGTTTTTAAAGGAATGGTGAATTCCCTATTTGTTAAAGTTACTTTTTGAGAAGAGTATTTCTTTTGTCCTACTAAGAGGAATGTGTAATGTTTCTTTTACATTTATATAAAATCCAGTTTGCCAACCCCGACTTCATGGAGTCCATCTCGGACGTCGTGGATGAAGTGATACAGAGCTGCCCCATCGATGTGCGACGCCCGCTGTACAAGGTAAGAGCCGCTGGGGTAAGGTGCTCTGCCTTCGCCTCAGCAGGCTCTCCGGTGCCAGTCGTGTTATAGGCTTTGCCCGTGACCGGTGTGACAGTAAAATTGTTTCCTTAGAGTGGGGATGACTTAAGTATTGGGAAATACAACTCATTAACCAGAAAGATTTAGTGTAAATATTCTAGTATCTTCTTACCTGGCAAGCTATATTAAATTGGACCGTCTTAACCATATGTACTGACTGGAAGAAACAGAAGAAGAACAGAAGAAAAAAGTGATTCTTCCTGTTTTTTGTGAATTCAAGTGTTCTCCTTTTGTGCATATTTAGGTTTGGTGTCAAATGAGGTGTTGCCAGGAGAAGTTAGAGCCTGAGATGAAACAGTCATAGAGAAAATGCTCATGTAGTATTTTCTTCGAAATTCTGTTTTACAATGAATTTTGAAATTTGAAGTGAGAAAAAGCTAGCCCATGTAATTACAGGATAAGAAAACATTGCTGACAGCCACTGACTGGGAGCAGAAAGTGGTGGTCAGGTGGCCTTCAGTGTTAACTAGCTTCTGCCTGAGTGTGTCACCCGATCAGCTGTCAGCCTAACGCCTCATCCTGCCTTCCTCAGACTCCAGTACTGCACGTGAGTGAGGAGGGAATCAGGCTCAGCACTCATGTGAGTGAGGAGGGAATCAGGCTCAGCACCGCATATGGGAAGGAGGGAGTCAGGCTCAGCACTCATGTGAGCGAGGAGGGAATCAGGCTCACCACTGCACTGAGAGAAGAGGGAATCAGGGTTATCTGAGAGGGCTCATTACTAACTTTTCTTGCATCTGTACAGTGGGATTCTCCAGTCTTTAAGGAGAGTGAGGTAAATCATTGTCAATTCAAACAAAAAGATGTCGACCGTGTGTATTGTTCAGTGAAAAAGGAAGTTATAAAATTTACACGTAGTATTAAGTCATGTAAAATAGTTTACAGTTGCATATAACAAAAGGATTTAAATGAATGTGGCTAGGGATTGCTTTTACTTTCTACTTTTTGTGTTTTAAAATTACTAGAAATTTTATAGTTAATAAATTTTTTTTTAAGTTTGTTTATTTTGAGAAAGAGTGCATAAGTGGAGGAGGGGCAGAGAGAGAGAATCCCAAGCAGGCTCCGTGCTGTTAGTGCAGAGTCTGATGCGGGGCTTGAACTCACGAACCGTGAGATTATGACGTGAACCAAAGTTGGTCACTTAACTGACTGAGTCACCCAGGCGGCCCCACAAACGTTATTTTTATTATTTGGAAAAATTCACTATAGAAACAACTTTTTGTGGGTGAAAACAAATTATAATTCTATTTTTTTTTTTTAATGTTTTATTTCTAGGAGAGAGAGAGAGAGAGACAGCGTGAGCAGGGAAGGGTCAAAGAGAGGGAGTGACAGACTCTGAAACAGGCTCCAGGCTCTGAGCTGGCAGTCAGCACAGAGCCCGATGCGAGGCTCAAACCCACGAACCGCGAGATCATGACCTAAGCGAAAGTCGGACGCTTAACCGACTAAGCCACCCAGGCGCCCCATTATAATTCTATTTTTATTTGTTGCATTTTGTTAACACCTTTCTCCTTTGGTAAAGTGCGCAAGTGAAGGGAAACTGAAGACAGACGGGAGTATTGAGGCTTCATCTTTTTATTGTTGAAACAGCACGCGCGCTCTCCCCACTTGTGACTCTCCCCTCACACCAGCTGTGTCTTCTCGCCCTGAAAGTGAGGAGCAGGGTCCCCTCTTTAGTCTTTGTTGCATCGTAATGGAACTGAACCGTGCAGAGGTTCCGATTGCTCACAATAGGGGGCGACATTTTCCTCCGGACGGTGTAGTTCACATTTGGTGCGTTGATAGGATTCTCGAAGAAGAAACGGGCTCTGGAGAGTGTGTGGACTGAGCCCCAGACGTGGGGGGGAGGCCAAGCGAGAGGTACTTGGGGGAGGTGGAGCAGATCGGTCTCAGGCTCTTTGTTCCTGCTGCATGTGTCTTCCCCCAGGACAGGCTCCGTAACCTCCAGGATTTGAACCGGCGAGGTTGGGCAGGGGTGACTGTGTCTGGTGCTCAGAAAAGATGAGACGGTCTTTCCACATTCACCTGTCCAGGGTCACCTGAAGGAGTCGGCCTCGGCTCTTCCCTCGTAGGGCGCCTGGCCCTCCCTTCCGACCAGTGACGGCACTGGGATGCCAGTTCCAGGCGTGGGAGTTGTGAGTTGCCAACAACGGAGCCATCAGGGGAGGAGGGTTAGACGCGGGAGGAGGAGGGGGGATGGGTGTGGGGGGCTGGGAAGGAGAGGGTCTGCAGAGGTGGCTCGGGTCTCCGTTCTTGCCTCCTCATCACTCGGAGGTCTAGCCTCCAATTCTGTCCGCTTTCTAGACGCTTCCATGTGTCTTCCCTGTAGCCATCAGAGTAGCTACACGTGCGAGGCCCTGCTTATGTTTTGTCTCCTAAATTGAGTGTCACCAGCAGGCACAGGTTGGTCGGGCGTGGTGACACGGAGCGAGTGGGAGGAGATGCTGGCTAGTTCCATGGCTTCAGGGTCCTCTGGTGGGGGAGACTGTGGGGAGAGGCTGCCTTGGTGCTGGTGGCCGTGCACACCTCTCCCTGGGCCACAGGCTGCTAGAGGTGAGTGCTGGGCCTGGTGTCGGCGGGTGGGCGGGTGACTGGATGTGGAGGCCGGGATGCAGTGCAGCTCAGGGAGGGTCAGGACCTGGAGGGGCAGAGAGAGAGAGAATCCCAGGCAGGCTCCGAGCTGTCAGCACAGAGCCCGACGCGGGGCTCGAACTCATAAACCGTGAGATCATGTCCTGAGCCGAAGTCGGACGCCTAAGGGACTGAGCCACCCAGGCACCCCTCCCAACATAGTTCTAAAGTCTCACATTTGTATCAACGCTGTATCGGGAAGTTGGGGAAAGTGATTGAGCTTCTAAATGTGATCTTTTTAAGTGATAGGAAATCTCAGATTTCTCCAGGTGCCCCTGACCTTGTTCAGAAACAACCTGGCACGTCTCCATCTCTGAACAGGTTTCTCTTAAAGAAACCATGTTATTTGCAGACTTTGGATGGTCATCTGATAGACAGCGGCAGCTTCTTCGTGGGATGTGTGTTGAGAGCTGGGTCAAGCGTGTTCCTCACGGCTGTGCCCTGGGGCGGCTGTGCTCTGTCCCCATTCCACAGGCGGACCCGAGGCAGCCGCGGGCCCCAGGCAGCCCCGCTGTGCCCGGTGAGGCCTGTCACGCACAGGGTCTTGGTCTTTCCCTCCTCACACGCGTGTGTTGGGGACGACGACATCCTCCTTTACAGATGAGGAGACTGAGCTCTGAGAGGAGTTGGGGCGCGCGCGGTCACCTAGCTGCTAGGCGGTGCGGTTGGGCTTTGAGTCCCGGCCGTGTCCCACATCTTTGAAAACTCAGGTGTGTTTCACCACGTGACCCTGAAAACTGTGTAAAATGTGGAAGCAGGACAATTCTCCAGAGAGGGAAGCCGTGTCCCCGACCACATCACGCCACCCTTGGGATTGTCGTTCGTCCCCTGTGGTTTTGGGAAGGGTTCAGCTTGGCTGTGCTGATCAGGTCTGTGCTGAGGCCGTCCTGCGCTCCCTCAGCCACATGAGTTTTCTGTGGCCTCTGCTGTGTCATCGCGGCCTCGCAGGTGGCTTAGGATTCAGGTGGGGTCGAGAGGGGGAGGCCCTGTGCCCTGTGGGGAAAAGAGGGACACACATGGGACCGCGTCCCCTGGTCACCTTTGTAAGATCTCAGGGCGACTAGAATATGTCACTGGAAAACTTAACCCTGCATCTCTGCCCGCCCAGGGGACACGTCCGTGTGGGGTGGCAGGCCACGGGCAGCCTGGGGACGCGGCCAGCTGGACTGCCAGGCGCTGGGGCGGGCAGGACGTGAGGCTCCGTGGGCACCGGCACCTCTGCCGCGGCCAACACGAAAGGGACTTGCTTCTGGAACACGGGGCTTGATGGGCACGTTGCAGCTCGGGGTGGAGGCCTGGGGGGCCTGCGGGCACCCGCTGTGGCAGTGCTGCCCCTCACGGGGACTCTCTGCGAAGGGCCAGACAGGAAATACTTGTGGCTTTTCGGGCCATTCGGTCTGTGTTGCGTTTCCTCAGTTTTGCCCAGGCAGCTGTAGGCGATGCGAGAGGAGCGGCCGGAGGTGCTGTGTCCTGGGAGCCGGGCCCATCGCAGGGGTGAGCGGGCCGGGCCCATTGCAGGGGTGAGCCAGCCGGGAGCCCGGCCCCGACGGCGTCCCGTGGGCCTCCTGGGCTGTGTGCTTGCTCCCCGGCGGCCGCTGCTGCCCCAGGAAGCTTGCTGTTTGGCTCCTTCCACTTCCCGGCTGCCCAGCTGGCACTGGCTGCCTCGGTTTCCTCAGCTGCCACCCCTTGTGGGGGCCGTGAAGGGCTGTCCTGGGGCTTCGGGTTCAGATTTCACCCTGTTCTCTGGGTGCTGCTTTCCTGCCCCTCCTCCTCGTAAGCGTGGCCATGGCCTTGCCGTGGACAGGGCCTGCCAGCCCGGCTTCCGTGTTCGGGAAGCGCGCACACGTGTGGGCGTGTAGGGTTACGAACACGATCCTGAAGTCTCTTTCAGTCGGAAGATGCGCTACGAAGACCTGAGCGGAGCACCAGCGGCCTCGCTCCGGGGAGCGGCCGGGTCAGTGTCGGGGCCGCGCGCGTCCGTCCTCTGTCCCTCCTGCCGCCCGGCTGGGGGCTCGCCGCGGCCCCTGCACCTGCCCCGGCCCCAGCAGCGCGGGGAGACCCGTACGGGAGCAGGACATGCGGTCCGGACCACGGAAGTCAGGGCTGGGCAGGAGGTGGCCCGCGTGCGGGCCCTGGAGGACTAGCCGGGGGGTGGGGGCTGCCCTCCAGGGTGCGGGCGCTGGGTTCCCTGCCTCGTGGCCGCCGCGCGCCGTCCCTGAAGACGCCTCAGCCTCATGCGGGCGGCTGTGGGACCCTGGATTCCCGGCGGGACTCTGCGTGCCCTGAGGGTC